TACGGAAGGGAATGTAACCTGGCTCTCTTCCGGATGGCCAGATAAACAGGCTGGTTTGACAGGTTCCGGTGCTGCAAGATCTGGTATGGACAATATGGATTGTGGACACTGTGCTGCTGTCCACAGATTGAGTATTTCTTCCTGACCATACCTGTTCTTGGAGAAAACGGCCACTGGTTTGCTGCGCAACCTAGAAAGTATAAGGTTACATAAATACATAATTTACATGTGACCTTGTATATTAAACATTTTGATTTGCAGTCGTGAATTGTTGTGATATGTATACTATCAGTATTTCATCATGAGACTAATAAACAGCGATCTACTCCAACATTTGATGTTCCATGATTAGACAAGATTTTTTTATCTGCCTCAGAAACAGGCTGATGATCAAAGGCTGACGATTAAAAACATTCCACAGTGTAACTATTTCAATATGATTAACCATCATACAACCACCAACAATCAGCAATAATAAAGTAGGTAAGCCCTTACCAATCAGGTCCGAGAGTCACACTGTTGATATCCTGAGAACTGGTTTCTGTAGTCATACTTGACTTGGCTTACCTTGTAATACAAAATGAGTTTATGCAGTTATAGTCGACACTAAATGTGGGAAATAAATCTTTAAATTGTGATAATGAATGAGTCAGGGTAGAAACAAAGTCTAGTCCCAGATGTATATATATGTAGAGTGAAACATTCAGTGAACTCAGTACGATCAAGATATATGAAGCAGCTAAACTTAGTAACAAATATTTTAATAATGAAAATGATTTAATCTTTTACAAAGAAAACAATTCAGGACACAAGAATCCGACGGCCACATTTAGATGCAAAACTTTCAGGACTTGATACACTAAGTAACAAGTTTTTCCAGTAAAAACATTAAAGAAGTTTTACACATAGCTATTGTGTCAAAATTACACTAGCGTAATCATTTGGAAACCCACCACCCTCTCAGCTGATAAAATAATATGTGAACAACCCCTTAAAGTTAAAATTTATTCGCATTGATCCGTCCGTGTGAATGGGTGTAAATCTGTTAAAAATAAAAGAAATTGAAAAATTCCCAACAATCTTAATAAAAAATGATTTCTTGCCTGCTAAAATTTCCAATTTCGTATTTTGTATGGCAATAAATTCTGAAGAAATCTGTAGTATAATACTCTCTCGTTGCCACCAGGATATCATGTTTAAAGGTATGAGCAGTTGAACGTCTTATCGTAATATATTTAGTACTAAGTCACTCTTCTAATGCTAAGTACTTGTACAGATAGACAGTTTTTGGGAGTTCCAAATAGTTTTTGATTATTCTGATCTGCGACAAATGATACTGCACTGTTAGGATAAACGACGTTTCAAAGTAACAACTTCTTATTCATGCTGACAAAATTGGTAAATATGTGAGAAAACTGTCTCATAAAATTTATTAATCAAAAATGGCTAAACGACAACAAATTGTTCAAATACTAGACTAAAATTAGAATCAAAATCTATATATATACACCACTACTCGATCTGCTATTCAATAAACTTAAAACATCCACTAAACAGCAAGTACGTGATTGTGATCGTGTGATGGAATGACATGTACAGTGATAACAGATGATAAGGTAAAAGATACAATACATGTGAGATGGTGTATACACAATGTGAGTGAAATTATAGTGAGTGGTTACTGATTGTGAGCGAGATGTGAAAAAACATAAAAACTTACTACTACTAGAAAACTGAAACTGTATGCAATAAAAAGGGAATGAAACTAAAATATCTAAAATTCTTCAGTACTAGCTATGATAAAACGTTTAACCCATTAGGGACGACGAGTTTTAAAGTTTGCCGATTTTGATGCCGTTTAACACACTAGGTCACTTTACAGCAAAAATGAGATATCCAAAAAAGCTAATCTGTATCTCGTTTACTTTAAAAGATACAGCTATGGTCGCATACGACCCACTCGTCCGGGTCGCAAACGACCCATCACGGTTTTTCGGCTTTAACTTCTGAAACAAAGACTTTAGGATAAAATAAAATAAAAAGCATGAGCTAAAAACATATGGTCAATACTGTGTGACTCTAACTTTTTAAAAATAAAGAATTTGGGTCATTAACGACCCACTCGGCTCACTTGCTTATTACTACATATGTCCATGTAACTTCTTGAATTCAGCCTAAAGCATGACATCATAAGTTCAAAATCGCCTCTCAGCAAGTGATAATCATCATAAACTGCGAAAAATCGGTTAAATGGGTCATTAGCGACCCACTAGGACCACAAAATTGATTAATTAAATATAATGTTGTCAAACTTTTACAAATATTAGTATAAAAACATGTTATATCTTGGTCATTACACCTGTACATTGATTTAAATTTTAAAATCGATCAACTGCGTCAATAACGACCCACTCGGAAGTTGAACCACGACATTAATTATCAGTATCATGTTGTTCTACCATCAAGAAAGACACTCGTAGGTCTTAATTCCACGCAAACCACGGGTCAACGGGTGGCTGACTACTAGCCCTTCTGAGATCTGGAGTCTCACGGTAATCTGCAGATCACGTCACCCAATGACTGACGAATAATGGGCAGAATTGGATTGATAGGTAGGTGAGTTTATCAGCTGTTAGTACACGACCGTAATGTCGTGAGACAGCAAACAACATGCCTATCTTTTCCCGATTCCTAGAACGTCCAAGAAGAACTATACAACTGCTGGATTCAGATTTCAGATGGCTGCATCTACTCTCTTCGCAGCTCCCTTTCTTTACTTCTTAGGGGCCGTTCATATATTACGTAATGACTTATTGGACAATTTTTACGCCCCCCCCCCCCACCACATAGCTATTATGTCAAAATTACACAAGCTCAATCATTTGGAAACTCCCCTCCCTCTCGGCCGATTACGTAAAACTTGTTTTCGTTTTGAAAGCTGCCTCGTTGTTGCGGGGTTTGTTACCCAAAACGAGGTAGTTGTCTGAAAGATTGCAGGTTGCAGCAACGCCAGCCAAATGGGGGGGGGGGGGGGGGGGGCTTTTTCCTTGTCCTTCTTCACAGAGCTGTAGATGTAGCCATCTGAATGCAGCAGTTGTTTAGTTATTCTCGTACTTTCTAGGAATGAAAAAAACATATTGGCATGTTGGATTAGAATATGCAATCTGACCACTCGTCTTTCAGTATTTACCCAAGGTTACATGATATCTCGTATACTTCGTTCAGGGGATTTTTCTTGAGTGACATGATCTGATCACCGTGGGACCCTGGGTCTCAAGCGGTGGGTTGTAGCAGGTCGTTTACCAAGATTCGAAATTGACGAAAAAGGTAACAGAATCTAATAAGCAACAACAACAGCATGGCTATTACCTAGCAAGTTAGGAACGAGGGCCGATTCCTTTTCTTTTGCGGCACGGCCACGGTCCTTTCGGTACAGATTTCCACGCACCATAGTATTATAGTCAGGACGCAACTCCAGGCATATGCAGTAGTGTTATTCTCGCAGCTCTTTGATGAGTGATGACGGCCCTTCAGTTGGCCTTGGCCCTGGATCTCAGAAGGGCTAGTAGTCAGCCACCCGTGGTTTGCGTGGAATTAAGACCTACGAGTGTCTTTCTTGATGGTGGAACAGCATGATACTGATAATAATTGATGAGGTGGTTCAACTTCCGAGTGGGTCGTTATTGACCCAGTTGATCGATTTTAAAAGTTAAATCAACGTACAGGAGTAATGACCAAGATATAACATGTTTTTATACTAATATTTGTAAAAGTTTGACAACATTATATTTAATTAATCAATTTTGTGGTCCTAGTGGGTCGCTAATGACCCATTTAACCGATTTTTCGCAGTTTATGATGATTATCACTTGCTGAGAGGCGATTTTGAACTTATGATGTCATGCTTTAGGCTGAATTCAAGAAGTTACATGGACATATGTAGTAATAAGCAAGTGAGCCGAGTGGGTCGTTAATGACCCAAATTCTTTATTTTTAAAAGGTTAGAGTTACACAGTATTGACCATATGTTTTTAACTTATGCTACAGTTTTTATTTTATCCTAACGTCTTTGTTTCAGAAGTTAAAGCCGAAAAACCGTGATGGGTCGTTTGCGACCCGGACGAGTGGGTCGTATGCGACCGCAGTTAGTAAACAGCGTCTAGCTCTGTTTGTGAACATCTGATTATCACAGGCTTTTCATATGTCTCAAGGAAATCGTTGCCCGCAACTATTTTGTCCTCAACAAAATAAGCCTACATAAAGTTTTAATGTCCCAATCAAGGCAAGAAGTAAAGTGAAATATTTTCCAATTATGACGACTAATTAGCCTAATTATTTAGTCGTTAGTAATTAATTGGGTCTCGACTGGAAATTCAATAATGTAGCCCAATAAATTTTGAGCATATGTGCGAAAGATTCGTTGCGTTTAGTATTATGGTTTGTCCTCTATAGCCTCTAGAAAAGGTGGGTCGTAAACGACCCTATCGTCCCTAATGGGTTAATAGTATCCAGTTCTTCTCTCTTGTTAATTGTACGGTTCAGATTAATAATAAACATCGCTTCGAAAATCTTTCTTCTGACAGTATTGGGCTCAATTCTTAAAACATCTACTTGTAAACTGGGATTTAACCCCTCATGACAGCTCGAATAATGTATGGCAAAAGCTTGACTAACATTAGAAGGGGTAGCAGGGTAGGTAGCGTAACGTAAGTGTTCTCCTACACGAGCATGTACTTTCCTACTGGTTTCTCCAACGTACAGCTGGTCACATAATTTACACTTAATCTTATATACAACATTCTTCACTTCACAATATTTATTACAAACTATCAAAGGACAAATTTTACATGAATTAATACTGCACACACGTTTATCATACAGTCTGTTACTACATAAAATATTTCTCAATTTCGAAGTAGGTTTAAAGTTTACTTTAATAGGTAAATTGTTCTGCTTTACATAATTTCTAATCTTATTGCTAGTACTGTCCGAAATAAAATCTAAATTAAGAACTGTCCTGGAATCATCCTCAACACTCTGACGCCTGTTAGAATTACTACTGTTACAATAACGTCTTGGGTTCTGGTAACCGTTTTTCTGTAATAGATCATCAAGGAGTCTGAGAGAGTGCTCCTTTTCCGCTGGGCCAGATGAGATACGGCAAGCCTCGCTATATAGGTTCTTCACTGTATTAATCTTAACAGACTCAGGATGGCAAGAGTTGTTGTGCAGGGTAATATCCTTTTGTTGCGGCTTGCGGTACAATCTGCTGGTTAATTTACCGTTTGGCTCGATCCGGACCTCAGTGTTCAGGAAGGGGATAAAATCGTCCTGTTGTTCTGGAAAGTCGACCTCCCACTTCAACTTTTTGTCCGGATCTTGGTCTGCAATCTGTTGAACCAGAGCAAGGGCTTCTTCTTTCGTCTCTGCAGTACTGGCAGCATCATCTATGTAGCGTTTGTAGAAGTTCGATAAGTATACCGATAGGTAGTGTTGATCGGTGTAGATAGAGTTCTTCTCACTCTAATGATGGCACAGAAGGGCCCTGGCCTCAAACCCATGAACAGACCATCCTGCTGTAGCCAGAGAGTCCTGTTATACACAAAGAAAGAGTTGGTAAGGATGTGTAGTAGGATCTCATGAATGTCTGTCAGGCTGAGTCCCATCAGGTCCAAACTGTCTCGGTGCTCTGTAGCTAGCTCAATGACATCGTCTATACAGCCCTGTACGTTTATGTTAGTGTATAAAGCTGAAATATCCGCGGCAAAGAACTTTCTCCTGGCAAGCTGTTCCTGAGAGATCTGGCGGAGCATCTCTATGTGCTGGATTAAATTACTCAGGTGACTAGGCACCTCATTAAGGAGAGGTTTAAGAATGGTCGTCACTAGCCAACTGAGTCTCTCTGTAGGTGAGTCCACGCAGCTGATGATGGGTCTAACCTTAACCTGCTCAAGAGGGATCGTCGAGCGGAAGCTCTCCGGAGGGTTCTTGTGGGTCTTGATTTGGACGTACATGACTGGGAGGCTGACATGGTCAGGAACTCTGATCCGTCGCTTGTAGTCGTCGTCAAGGTTCCGCTGTGATGAGATCTTCTTCCACAGGTTATTCGACTCCTTCACCAGGTTCTCCGTCTTCTTCTTGATGAGCTGTGTGAGCTGTTGAGAGGTGGGTTCCGCTACTGAGACAGTTTTACCGTTGATTTTTCTCGTGGGAAGCACACGCTGGTACACAGCTGTCTCCTGGAGGTGATTCTCTGTGAGATGTCGATGTGTGTCCTTAGTTGTCACCACAAACTCACCGCACTTGTCTGATACCGACACGTGTAACGTCCTGTCTGTCAGAAGGGAGCGTAAACCATCTTTCTGAAAACGAGTGAGGTTATCCTGTGGGTTGGTGTTAGTCACGAGGTCCTGTACAAAGCGGTTAAACTGTGCCAGCTTGTCCTCTAAAACCGGGTGAGTGGGGTCAGGTGTACTGGTGAATGGTGAGGGAAAGGGACACAATCTCCTCACTTTGCTGGAACTCGACTCCTCGGTGGGCTCAATCGGGGCACTAGCTTCCGCACTAGTGTCTGAGTTGGCACGTTGAGTGATAGCGTGTTTGTGTCTGATCTTAAACACACACTGAGCGATATCAACGGCAACTTTATCCTTGAATGACTGGTCAATTCGCGGAGACACGGCGAAGTTAGGTCCGAGAGCTAAAACTGACTTCTGCTGCTCGGAGACACTGTCGATGTTGAGAGTAGTGACTCTGTCGTCAGCAGGTTGAGTAGTAGATGGAGGAGGAGGAGGAGTAGGAGGGTAGTATTTCTCCAACAACCAAGAAAACTTCTTCTGTAAACGGTCCTTATAATGCTGCTTAACATAACGTTGGTGTTCCTCGCAAATAGTAGCAATACTGATGAGTAGAATGGTCCACTTTATGAAATAAACTGTCCTTCAACTGTAATAAATCACGTTTTCTGTATGCAATAAACTGATACTGATATGATATGTGCTGTTGCAATGATAATGTTCTTATTCTGTGCTGATAACGTGTTACACTGCCAGAATTCTGCCTCATCGGAAACAATGATGACTGATTAAACGTAGTACTGTTCAACATAAATACAGGAAAAACTTGCTGTCGTTTACAGCGTTTGAAAAAATTCAACTTCTGTTCTGAAATTTTGAGTTTTTCTGCTGTAGCAATGAAAGTTTTGGCAGTTCCAAAGTTCTCCCGAGAAAGAGTAAGGTTACAAAGATTACGGACTGGAACATTATTTATTAGTCGCATTATAACAATAGACAGTTTTTGGGAGTTCCAAATAGTTTTTGATTATTCTGATCTGCGACAAATGATACTGCACTGTTAGGATAAACGACGTTGTAAAACGACTTGTACAGAGTAAGTTACTAGATCTTGTGGAGATTGTAATGATTCTTATTATATCATTTTACTATATGTTTTGATATTAACTAATGTTACAAAATGTTACAAACTGTTATCCCTTTTACCTGTGACTTTGAATCACTGTGAATAAAATCGTTTCACTTAGTTCATCCTTATAGCAAAAAAAGATTAGAGCATACAAAAAGCTCCAGGGCCAGGGGGTGGCAAAAGATGGAAGAGATCTGTTTTAGAGGTTGTAACCTCACATTTCATAGAAAGGGTCATTCCAACAATACATATACAGTAAATTAAATCAACCGATGTTATTGGCAGAGCACAATCATAAATGCTGAACACGTAATCTATATCCCTCTAAGCTCTTCTCCTTGAAGATCAGGTTGAAGGACACGTTCGATATGGGGGCAGTACATGCCTTCTTTGTAACCTCGCACTTCAGTCTCTATTAAAAGCAACTAATAACACATTTTTCAAGAAAACAACAATTTCAAGAAAACAATAATTTTATTTAGTATCAATTAAAGCAGAATAAAATATATTATTATATATAAATAACTAGCACGAACTTTAGACCAAATATCTTAGGGGACTTGGAATAGCAAGAAAGTGACTAGAAGGTACATATATACCTTTAACAAAAATATGTCGAAAAGAATCCAGGGCCAGGGTGATACAGGATCGGAAAGTGCAGACCGTAAAGTTTACACACCCGTAAAGTTTACGCACCCACCTTGCATCCTGTTAATTCTTGGTTGAATAGACTTTTATGTTAATTGACGATGTCAATTCATCGCAGCTCGGCGAGGCCCAGTTAGTAAGTAGCGCAGTTAGTGAGTAGCGCATTTCGCGTTCGCTGATCTAGCGAGGATGTGGTTGCGAGAAGCATAATTGAGTGCGCGGCGCGGCACAGTAACGCATCACGCTACAAAATGTATGCAAACTTAAGCGTTTATTGACGGATGTTACTCGTCTAAATTTCTTCGAAGTAGCGCGCGCCGCGGGCCAGATCATTAACAATGGTCAATGGTCAACCGAAACCCCCCTGTAATCGACCGTAAGCATTTGTAAACCCCCTCCATTTCGAGAAGAAAGCGGCGCGCGCTACTTCGAAGAAATTTAGACGAGTAACATCCGTCAAGGTTGACCATTGTTTGACTATTGTTAATGATCTGGCCCGGCGCGCGCTTCTTCGTAGCTCGTGCCATCGGGCCATTTCGAGAAGAAAGCGGCGCGCGCTACTTCGTAGAAATTTAGACGAGTAACATCCGTCAAGGGTTTTGGTCGTTGATCACGTAATTAAACATTTTTTAAACTCTCTAGAATAATAAAAATTGGACAATATTTTAATATAAGTAAAATTGCACTCAATTTCACTCTGATAGTGATAAAATTTAGAAATTGATCGAATATCCGGCTATAATAGAAAATAGTTTAGAAGGTGCTTGGCCGTATATCATAACCAATAACAATGATTTCGTTGACATTTGTATCACGTGGTGACCCCCACGGTCGCTTCACTATAGCGTCTTCGACGCTACAGGGGGAGCCGCGCACTTCGTGCGCGGCGGATCATACAACGTATGACAAGTTGACATGCGTTGCATGCCACTTTTCTCTGATATTGGGATACGAAACATGTATCAATGATTTTGGCTCATCGTGATGGCTCTTACTAAATCGCTCGCCCAAAAATTTCACGTGACTTTGGTTTTTTTGGTTTTGCAGCCGTACAAAACGGTTTTACATAAACCCTAATCCCAACCCTAACCCTAACCATAACCCCGAAGCTATCCATAATCTTAACCACAACCCTAACCCTAACCCGAGCCCTAAATAATCGAATTCACGTTTTACTAGCCTGTCACGTGACCAAAACGGTTTTTTGCCCATAACTCTCCAGGGACGCATTTTAACCCTACGTCATGGGGGGTGATTCGGAATCAGCGTCCAAAAATACACCGATCTAAATCACTTTCATGCCTAAAGGGCCTTTTCACAAGAATTTTCTTAAAATTTGGGCGAGCGATTTAGTAGGAGCGCATCATGATAGCCTAGCATGAAACGTAGGGAAAAGTATTTTCTAGGAATAAAAGTCAAGGCCATCATTACGTAATATTGCTGTCAGGAGAGGGGTTGGGTCTTGATTCACGATGTCAATCCTTCGCAGCTCGGTGAGGCACAGTGGTGCATTTCGCCGATCTACCGAATGTGGTTGTGGGTTGCGAGAAGAATAACTTGATGCGCGGCGCGACCCAGTAGTGCATCGCGCTACAAGGTTGGGTCTTGATTACGGTTGATTACGGAAGGGGGGGTAAAAATTGCTAAAATATTGATTACGTAATATGTGAACGACCCCTTATGATTGTAATTTGTAAAATAAAGGATAAAATTTAAAATTTGTTTCTCTATCGAATGAATTATCAAATATTAATTGGCGCACAGAGCCAGATTGCATTGGCTTAAAAATAACACGGCAATGAAGTTTTTAATTGACACTTGTATCACGTCGTGACCCCCATCGTCGTTTCACTATAGAGTTCACTGTAGAGTTTTTACGATTGCTCTATAACCAGAGCCCTCTCGCTTGCAGTAGCGCGCGTCACTGGTCAAGCAGTACGCGTAGACACATGGCTATATGAATTTCTACGATACAGGGGGCCGGAGCCGCGCACTGATCGTTGTCATACGTTGTATGACCCGCCGCGCACGAGTGCGTTGTATCACGTTGCGACCCCCACGGTCGTGAAACGTGGGGGTCGCTGGTCGCAGCGTGATACAACGCACTCGTGCGCGGCTCCCCCTGTAGCGTCGAAGACGCTACAGTGAAGCTATAGTGAAGCGACCGTGGGGGTCACCACGTGATACAATGACAAATTGACACTCAGCACTTGACCATTGTTAATAATCATGATCTGGCCCGGCGGGCGCTACTTCGTAGCACTTGCCATCGAGAAGAAAGCGGCACGCGCTACTTCGAAGAAATTTAGACGAGTAACATCCGTCAAACTCATCACCTGCAATTTAATTAAATTATAATTTTACCTTTAAATTATCTGGCACCAGGCACACTTGTACGTTTATAATTTCAAATTTACCAAGACGCGCGCCGAGTATATATATGTTTCGCGTAGAGTGTGCTAAATCACTTTACAATCGATTTTCGAGATTGTTCTAAATTGTCATACGTTGTTATACTTGTATGACCCGCCGCGGCTCCCCCTGTATCGTAAACCTCTACACTATTATAGTGAAACGACAATGGGTGTTGCGACGTGATACAAGTTCTAAAAGGGCCCCCCGACAGTTGGAACCAACTTCAATCGATGTATTTTCGGACGCCTGACGAGATATTGGCGAAAAACTGTTCCGATCACGTGATATGGCCGTATAATGAAGTTAGTCTAATTTCTCGTTAGGGTTAGAGCATATGCTTTTGTTAAGGATTGGGTTAATATGGCCCTGGACGAATTTTCGAAACCCCAACGAACCCTTAATTAGAAATTAGACCAACTTTATTTTTAGACCAACTTATTTATACGGTCATATCACGTGATCGAGACAGTTTTTCGCCAGGGGTGCATTTTAATCCTATTTCAAATTATTCAAGTTGATTTCAACTGTCTGACGTATGTGGTCCTTTTAGAAATATCTCGAAGATCGACTGATCATGATTATAGCAAACCAAAAATTATACATTATATTATTTCGATCCTGTATCTAACATGTTGTATTAATGCGCCAATTACATTTTACATACTAACGAGTAATGACTGTTAAAGCTTGTGCCTGGGATCCTCAGGAGTCAGGCTGTTAGTGTTAGCTGCAGTCCCCCCACCCCCCTAGTAGCTCCGTAATCAGTTTGACGTATAAATATTGTTTTAAAAATAAAATTACGCGCGCGTTTTCATTTTAAAACCCCTATCAGTAATAACATACTTTATGTACCAGTACTGTGAAGTGTGGACGACCCCTAGTTATGAGTTAGAGCAACTGAAACATCTATCGGTTTCAGACAAAATATTTTAAACGCAATAATGAAATGGATATTGTCAAAAAGTATGCTCAATATATGACTATAAATGATAGCTCATTCAATAATAAAACATAGCCAAAAACTCTTAACCGTATAACCAAACAGTTAAGTAAGGAAAAATCATATTTATAACCAATAAATTTTAAAACCAACTACCAATACATTTAAAACAATATAAGATAGTAAACAATTAACATTAAGAGACAGTACAAAGCAGTCATTACAAAACGTCAGCGGAGTTATTCGGGCTGGGGGTGAATCTCATGTACTGCTTGCGGAGTTACTCAGGCTGGGGGGTGAATCTCATGTACTGCTTGCCAGAAGGTACGTCCTCAACTCTCATTTTAGGGAAGAGTTTGGTAGCTTCCTCCCCTTTAACCGAGGGTAGGACCATACAGTCCCCTCCTGCCTGCCAATTAGCAGGGGTCGCTACCTGGGGGGAGGGGTCCGTTAGCAAGAATTATAGATTTTAAGAAATAAAGTAACTTTAGATACCAATATCATCATCGGTTGTATAGTGTATTACATGAAATAACACAATCTAAATTATACTAAAACCACTGAACTAAACTAGTGGCTTAGATGTGTTTGCAATAATACGATTGGAATTTTCAGGTTACACTTTCAGAATCAAAATACAGCTATTCTTAAATCAAGTTATCATGTTCTCTTACCACGCGACTTGTTAATACCACGCGACTTGTTAATACCACGTGACTTGTTAATACCACGTGACTTGTTAATACCACGTGACTTGTTAATACCACGTGATCATACCTTCTTGTAAGCAGTAAGCTGCAGACTATCAATAACTCTCAGGAGCTCATCAAAGTTCCTGCCGGTAGTAGCCGGGTATAAGATGGATAGCTTCAGTTTCTTGTCGGGTCCTACAATAAACACAGCTCTAGCAGTGAGTGGGAGACCGGCTGCGTCTTTCTCGTCCGGGTCCAACATACCTGGGGTAATGGGGGTGGTAAAAGGAGGGGGAAATGGGGGTGGTAAAAGGAGGGGGTAATAGGGGTGGTAAAAGGAGGGGGTAATAGGGGTGGTAAAAGGAGGGGGTAATGGGGGTGGTAAAAGGAGGGGGTAATGGGGGTGGTAAAAGGAGGGGGTAATGGGGGTGGTAAAAGGAGGGGGTAATGGGGGTGGTAAAAGGAGGGGGTAATGGGGGTGGTAAAAGGAGGGGGTAATGGGGGTGGTAAAAGGAGGGGGTAATGGGGGTGGTAAAAGGAGGGGGTAATGGGGGTGGTAAAAGGAGGGGGTAATGGGGGTGGTAAAAGGAGGGGGTAATGGGGGTGGTAAAAGGAGGGGGTAATGGGGTGGTAAAAGGAGGGAGGGAGGTTTAATGGGGGGGGGGGGTAAAAGGAGGGGGTAATGGGGGTGGTAAAAGGAGGGGTAATGGGGGTGGTAAATGAGGGGTGTAATGGGGGTGGTAAAAGGAGGGGGGGTGTAATGGGGTGTAAAAGGAGGGGGTAATGGGGGTGGTAAAAGGAGGGGGTAATGGGGGTGGTAAAAGGAGGGATGTAATGGGGGTGGTAAAAGGAGGGGGTAATGGGGGTTGTAAAGGGAGGGAGGGGTGTTATGGGGGTGGTAAAAGGAGGGGGTAATGGGGGTGGTAAAAGGAGGGGGAGGGGGTAATGGGGGTGGTAAAAGGAGGGGGAGGGGGTGTAATGGGGTGGTAAAAGGAGGGAGAGGGGGGGGGGT